AAGAGAGTGTTACTGAAAGATGGAGCAGCGCCAACTCTATTAGACAACAAATCCCCAATACACAAGTAAGCACTGGTACTCTTTTTGCAAAAAAAAGAGAGGAAGAATACGCAGAAAACCTAAAAGTACAGCAGCAAAATGGCTTGATGAATTCAAAATGTCGGAAAATGGCCATAAAATCTAAATTACGACAGAAAAAAAAACACTGACAGAAAAATTACTTTAAAAATGATGTCATGACCCCTCGAAAGCTAATGAAAGCATTGTCTTATAGGACAGTGGAACCAGCATTCCAGGCCTCCTGAGCTGGATGGAAATCAAAGTGCATCTTTCTTTCTGAATAACTGATGAACTATACCAGCTGGACTCATGTAGAGGTATGTTTAAACACGCACACTCTCACTCACACTCACTATGTTTACGTACAAACACGAATAATAACTTTGAGTGAAATTAAGCAGCCATGCAGAATGGCCTTGGGAGGGATGTGAGGAATGCTGGAGGGTGGATGAATCTGTGCGTGAATGCTTTCATACACAGCTGTCGTCCTCCCCTCTGTGTTCTCTTCTCTTGGGTAATTACTCTGATTATAGAGAGATAGAGGTGATGAGAGCAAATCCTCCTGTGCTCACACTCGCATAGATAAACATGGTCCACAGACAGAGGTGCCACAAAACCCCAACTGGCAGATGAACAAAACTTGAATTGTGACCCTGGACCACAAAACCAGTCACAAGGGTCATAAACCAATCATACACATCATCTGAAAGTGGAATAAATAAGCTTTCCATTGATGTATGGTTTGTTAGGATAGGAAAATATGTGGCTGAGATACAACTATTTGAAAATCTGAGAAAAAAAATCTAAATACTGAGAAGTTTTTAGCAATGCATATTACTAATCAAAAATTAAGTTTTGATATATTTACAGTAGGAAATTAACAAAATATCTTCATGGAACATGATCTTTACTTAATATCCTAATGACTTTTGGTATAAAAGAAAAATCATTAATTTCGACCCATACAATGTATATTTGACTATATTGCTACAAATATACCCGTGCTACTTAAGACTGTTTTTTTGGTCCATGGCCACAATTAGTCTTTTTATGTATGCGATTACCTATATGCCTTTCTCATCAGACATTCCTTATGTTCATCTTATAGGGATTGTTTACCCAAAAATGAAAATTCTGTCATTGTTTACTTGCCCTCATGTTGATTCAAACCTGTATGACTTGCTTTTTATGACAAAATAAAATATTTTGAAAAATGGAGTTCTGGTGTTGTAACTTTTATTGTACGGACAAAAAATATCTTCAAAATATCTTATTTTGCATTCTGCAGAAGAAACCATAAGGGTTTCAATTTCATAAAGGTTTGGAATGACATGACAATAAACAATAACCTAATTTTCCCTTTTGGGTGCAGATATATACTGTATACTACTGGTCATAATTAAGAAAAGACATTGGAATAAGATATTATAATGTTTTTTAAAGAAGTCTCTGCTAACCAAGGCAGCACATGTTTTATACAGTAAAAACAGTAATATTGTGAAATATTATTACAATTTAAACGTAATGTATTTAACGTATAATTTTTTCCTGTCATGGCAAAGCTGAATTTTTAGCAGCCATAGTCGTACATTTACATTTAGTCATTTAGCAGACGCTTTTATCCAAAGCGACTTACAAATGAGGACAATAGAAGCAATCAAAACTAACAAAAGAGCAACAATTTGTAAGTGCAAATGACAAGTCTCGGTTAGCCTAACGCAGTACACGTAGCAAGGCATTATATATATATATACACACACACACACACACACACACACACAAAGAAAAACAAGTAGATAGAATAGAAAAAATAGAAAGCTAGTGGGTTTTTTTTTATAAAAAAGAAGATAAATAGATAAAGTAGAATTAAAATAGAATAGAAAGTGCTAGAGTTAGAGGGTCAAATTGTCGTCAGTGCCAACTGATCCTTCAGAAATCTAAAATGCTGATTTGGTGCAGCTTTGGTGAGCATAAGAGACTTCTTTCAAAAACATTAAAAAACCTCTCTCTCTCTCTCTATATATATATACAGTGTGAAGGCAGATGCAGCATAAGCATCACAGACAGTTCTGAATTTCTAAAAAAGATCAGGAACAGAGTGTGGTTCATTTATTCCTGGAATAAGCTGTCAGCACCTGCCAAACAGTCAGGCACATTCAGATCACAGTCATTTACCGTCCGAAATATTCTGAACATATTGCACCATAACAAGCCTGCTGCCACTGTGTGAACAATGAAAGTTCAGAACCAATCATGTGACGAGCCAGTCTGTTATAAGAACAGCATGGACCTCCGTTTTGGAAAACGGACACCACTGTCACAATCCCAGTTAAGAACAGCAGCAGGTGGTCACTTCAATCTCCCCTTTTGTCCCATAATCCTGTGTACCCACAGTATCATATTGCTGTGACTGTATCAAGGGAGGAGCCTGAAGGGCTAATTTTACTCTTGCCTTGTCCAGTGTGAGAGGAATGTGACCGTGTGAATGCTTGTACAACAGAACATCTACAGAATTGGCACTTGGCTAAGCTCCGCCTAATGACTTATCATACCTCAGCAGTCAGCAACTGTTGTGTCCATCCAGACATGCAAAAATCTGAGTATGCAGCATAGAAAGGCACTGCAGAGGCGCAGCTCGAAATGGGCTGCCAAAATCACAACTGGTACATGTAGGCATCGGTCGGCTATCCCCCACTCCATTCCCCAACCTCCTGGTCTGACTGAGATATTCTTACATACATATACATATTATTGTTTTGTTGCCAGTGGTCAGGTGACACAAAAAGGTATCTAGAGATTGAAATGGGAGTCAAATCACAAAAAGAATTGACTCTTTGATTCGTTGTGAATTGAAGGTTGACTCCAAAGTTTGAGTGGAATCGACTCAGAAGTAGTGGGTATGATTTGGTTCATCCTAATCACTCGAATCTTTACAAAGAAGGCAACTGTTGCTTCTTTCTGAGTATTATAAGTGAGTGTTCGAATCATTCAAGACTGCGTTTTTTAGAAGCTCCCATTAAAAAGACAGGTAGCACAAATCGATAGCAAAAAATGCTACCTATCAGATTGTGCTACCAGCATCTTATTCATGTGGTTTGAGGCTTTTTTTAATGTCCATACCTACCCCTACCCGTCCACACCTACCCTTACCCTAAATTTACCCTTAAAGCAATGTAAATATATATTTTGGTAGTACAATCTGATAGGCAGCATGTTTCGTCGGTACACCGGTGGTTAACGATCTACTTACTGTTTATGATGCATTAGGAAAACGTAGCCAAGAGTTCTTCAAAAACACTTGTTCTCGACCGCAACACCTATAGCAGCGCTAATATAGATTTTATATGAAAGAATATTACAATAGTTGTTAATTGAATTGTAATGGTAATTATTATACTCATCTCTTTTTTTTTCTTGCGAATCGATGTCATTGTAAATTCATGTCATTGTAGTGTTCAAAAGTACCACAGTTAATGTAAATATTAGGAACAGTTCTGTTATATACTGATATACTTCACTATTGCTTTTCAGCTGACTGAGAAGTGTTTGCCTTGATTTTCACTTGCAGTCTCTGAAGCTTTTAATCAAATATATTTTTGGTAGCACAATCTGATAGGCAGCATGTTTCGTCGGTACACCGGTGGTTAACATTACTGAGTGCATAATTCTAAAAAGTAAGATCTAATCAATTCTTACCACTTTATGAGCACTTTTCACTAATAATCTTGCTGTTCATCTCCAGTTCATTCCAAGGAGTAAGCCACAGTAACCAGGTTGGCAACAGTAACCAAGGGGCGGAGCGTAGCAAAGGGTCAATTAGAACAAAAAAAAGCAGATAGGGAGAGAAAAAATAATAATTGACAGAAGACAAAAAAAATACCTAGTACAAAAATTCTCTGCGCATCATTTTTTCCCCTCCAGATCTATTCTTCAGAGCACAAAAAATCAGGACAGGCATTCAGAGCTTTCACCACCACGCAGGTGTGTTTCCAGGCACACCTTGAAAAGTCATTTAATATTGTTCTTTTGTATTTGCCTGTGTAGCTACAAGGTGTTGATATTGGCAACTGACATTGTTCATTTTCATTTCACAGGCTGGATCATCGCTCTAACTGACCGTGAAGCCACCGAGGCATTTTCAATAGTATAATCCCTGCCCTCTGTGTTTTTGTTCAGTCTCAGCCAATTTAGAGATTTTGAAGGTGCTTGCAGAGAAAATATGCTGTGAAGTCTGCAGTAATCTCCCACCTGCAGATAAAGCACTGAAGAAACAACACGTGCTCAGGTATCATTTGAGCCGGGAGGGCAATCTTTAGAGACTCGGGGGATTAAGAGGGGTACTTTCGCTGATATTCCTATTCCTATTACAGTCGGGTTGTTGTTAGCAAGACGATAGACCAGGGGTGGCGAACTCCGGTCCTGGAGAGCCGCAGTCCTGCAGAGCTAAGCTCCAACCCTAATTAAAACTCACCTGCCTGTAGCTTCCTAGTAACCCTTCAGGCCTTGATTAGTGTGTTCAGGTGTGTTTTTCATTAGGGTTGAAGCAAAACTCTGCAGGGCTGCGGCTCTCCAGGACCGACGTTCGCCACCCCTGCGATAGACCAATATAAGCGGTCATTTTCAATATATTCAATGTTCCACTGCATCATATGTCCATTAATGTAAACTTTTAAAATGTCTTCAGTGATTGCAGGATCAATCAATCAGGCTCTCATTTAAGCCAGCACAAAGCAATATGTCATTTACATCACTTTGGTAAGAAAGCATTTCCAAAAAAAAATCAATGTAAATGTTCCTCTAATCATAATTATGAACCTCATGAATAGAATGTGACAAGAATGAAAGATGAAGGATCGTTCGAAATTAAAGACACTTAGCGTGTGTGTACTCAAGCAGCTAAAACACACACTCAGGTTAATCCTCAAGATTTACACTGGGGGGAGGACTGAAGAGGATTCGTCAAACTATTACATCTCCACAAAAATAGTGGCATTCGGTCTCCTTGACTCTTGTGCTTTTGCGCTCTCATTCTTGTAGGTTGTTACTAGAGTAAAAGCTGGAGGTCTCCGACACGGTTTTGGAGATGCTGCGAGATGACGAGCCATTGGAGGTGAGGTCCCTGGAGGGGCTGTGAACTGCTGGCCTCTTGGCGGCCCCTCTGATGACCTTCTGGCCATCTTCACACGGCTGCATCACGCAGGACACTGTGGTCTCCATTCGACTGGCCCTGTACAAACTGGTCTGGGTTTGAAGGTACCGGGTGGACTTGAGCTCTAGACCCTCGTAGGATCCCTCAGGGACGCACGGACAGCAGCGGAACGCTTGCTTAAATCCGGCACGGAACCTGAGGAGACATTTAGAAATGTAAGAGACGAATAGTCACATGATGATGCGTTTAAAGTTGAAAATTGACTAGAAGATATTAAAGCTTTGTTGTCTTTCAAAGGCTTTTGTGATGGATTTTCAGTGTCTGAGTGAGGCGGTAAAACCAGGATACATTAGAGAATAATACATCACAGCTTTGGACTGCATTTTATGGCACAAAAAGATGGATCATTTTGAACAATAATGATATTATAGCGAATATTACAGGGACTCTGGAAAGAGCTAGACGTGCATGTGTGTATGTGTGTGCGCGTCAATTACTGTGTTTTCACTCCAGGTGAAATTACCTGTCATTGAGGCAGCAGTAGATAATGGGGTTGTACATAGTGGAGCTCATTGCCAGCCACATGATAGTCAGATAGACCTGCTGAATGAAGGGATGCTCAAACAGGTGCGGGTAGAACTGGTGAATCAGGAAATAGACGTGATAGGGGAGCCAGCAAACAGCGAACGTACATACCACCACAATCATCATCTTCACCACCTGAGGGTCGGGCAAGAAGAGAACATTTCTGTAAATACATATTCTGTCCTTCAAGCTGATTTCCTGGGCTTTGCATGCTGCCCACATTGCACAAAAACTGGCAGAATGCTGACAATCGAAATGTTCCCTAATAATTTTCTTGACAACTTTTAGGTGGTTCAGTTGTCTTAATTTACCACCAACAAGCAGCATGCAAACATGTCATTAAAAATCACATTAAAACAATGGCATTAGTAACTGAAATCTTTTGTGTGATGCTGCATTCATGTTTCTTCAGCATATGTCCAAAATGGTACTTGTATATAAAAAAAAAATACTGAGTGCACCTTCAAATAGCACCTTATTTTTCAGCTAATGCATCTTATTTTTCACTACGTTGACTTTCTTATTTTATCATTGTTGTTCTACCATAGATAAAGCTGCCTTTGGACTGCCGTCAATAAGCTGCACCTGTCCCGACTACTCCAGGTCTGTGAAAGGTAGGTCTAGGCTGCCTTAAACTACTCTTGTTCTTTAGACGCTAGAGATTCCTGATCCTGAAATGGGCCTGAAATCAGCATGAAAACCACAGTGACACACTCTGCCAGAAGCCAGAGCATGTAGTAGCAAATCACTCAGTCACCAGCAGACTGTCAGAGGCTCTTTGATGTTTATGAAGCTCAAACAGAAGACGGGGATGCTCAGAGGTAATATGTCACATTGTGTCATCACAAGTACTAACGTTGGTTGCTTAAAAAATAGATTAAGATATTTTATGTGAGGAAGAAAAGGACGAAGGTGAGGAATAAAATGCTATAGCAATGATATGTAAAGTAGATATTGGAGAGGAAACATATCTTGACTTCATATCCTTCAAGTGTGGTGAATGAGGCACACACACATGCACACAGAGAATACAGATGAAAGAACCAGATGGACCTTCTCACTGCGGGTGAGTTTCATAGTGATTATTTCATGCGGCCTTGTCTGACCCTCCTCCCCTTGCGTGTGAACTCTGTCTGCTTTGTTAACTCATAGTTCAGAGTCTGACCTGGACTGTGTGTAGGCAAATGTCACAGGCTTAAAGGATAGAGGAAAGAGGAGCAAGAGGATGATGTGATGAAGACCTTGCGTTTGGCGGTCAGCTGCTCTTGATAACGGTCAGATGAATCTCCTGGGATCTCACTGGCCCACAGAGTCAAACCCACCACCAGGTAAGCACAGCCCATCACCAGGAGAGGGAGGAAGTAAATCAGCACTGCTACACACACAAAATACCTTCAAAAGGATAGAAAGAAAGAAATATTTTTATATTAATACAATTGTAACCAGTGTTGGGGAAAGTTACTTTCAAAAGTAATGCATTACAATATTGCGTTACTCCATAAAAAAGTAACTAATTACGTTACTTAGTTACTTTTTATGGAAAGTAATGTGTTACGTTACTTTCGCCTTCCTTTTTAAATCTGGACAGGGCTTGCTTGTTTGTTTTTTAAATAAAAAAGTTATATTTTTGGCAAATATAAAAGCCTTTTCACACCAAAAGTGAAATGAATAAGCCTCAGGCTGAAGGGAAAGTAAATTTAAGTCCGTGCAGTAGAATGAAGAAGAAGAAATGTAAACACTTCAGCAATAAAAAAGACACACAAATGTTTGTCTAGAGTAATTTGTGCTTATTAGTATGGTTGAACTGGATCATCGAAGGTCAGAAGCAAAGACATTGGTTAATAGAATGGGATTAAATACATAAAGGATATTTGTGTTGTTTAACATTTAATTATTGCAGGTTTGCGTCATATTCTGAGTTGCATTATTTTTATTCATTTTGAGGAATACTAAATCTGTGTTTTTTTTTGTGAGTGAGAAGAATTAATGCATATTCATATTTATTTTAGAACTACAGTAACATCTTCTGATTTCTCTCAACATGGGGACAGGAGAGCTGTTAATCAATAATTTGGGGAAAAAAAGTAACTCGGATATTCTCTTGTAAATTAAAAAGTAATGCGTTACTTTACTAGTTACTTGAAAAAAGTAATCTGATTACGTAACTCGTGTTACTTGTAATGAGTTACCCCCAACACTGATTGTAACTAATGTCTAGATAATAATTAAATTTGCATGCAATTTCAGAATTCTTATTCACTAACACCTGAAATTCTGTTTGCTATTTTAATTTTCTGGTTTTCGTGGAATGGGCAAAACCAACAGGAAAGTCCACACTAATTTGATCTATTTAAAGAAATTTTTTGTAATTTTAATATGCAAATATGTACCATTTCATCCATCCTATTGATTTTATTTATCGGTTTAATTGAACTCTCATTCTTACATAGCCCTCATGAATGTTAAATAGCCCAGTTCCAAAGTAATCTTAAACCATCCATTCATGTTGTAATTGATATTCATGAGACAAACCAATTTCAGATTGCGTTATGTGACTGCGCTCCTATAAAAATCCCTTTTTCTCCAAAATGAACAAACTGGCGATGTTCTCTAAGAGCAGGCAGTAAACACTGCAGGAAATGCCCTGAGGGCCAGACTGAGAGATACTCGTATCAGGAATGCCACCTGCCAATCTGAAGACAACACAAGAGACGAGTTCTCTGTAATATTGTTGCTTTCAGTGATTCCCTCCATGAGGGAGTTGAAAAACGAGGCCATGATTAATTATACTTCCATTGCTTCATATTTCTTAGTGACACAGGTGGAATGCTGTCATCAGGAGACTTGGACTTGGCCCCATTCATCCGCCCCCTTCCTAAGCTAACAGCTTCTCCAGGAAAGATGATTGAACCAGGTACGGCATCAAAGAACTCTGATGAGGCAGTTTAGTCACCTCTTGCTGACCACAGCTTATACCTCGCTCACCATTTCACTAGCAATTAAGTGCAATCAGGAAAACAGGTGTCGAGAGAAAGAAAAGAGAAGGCAAGAGACTGAGAAAGAAAGCTTAACATTTCTTTTTCTAGTTTCAGATTATGATGCTACTTTAAAGAGGTAATGGTGTTCTTTCGCCCCTGCAATAAGAAATATACTGGTCAATGGTTTGGAATAATTAAGATCTTTTCAAATGTTGTTGAAAGAAGTCTCTAATGCTTACCAAGGCTGCATTTATTTGATCAAAATAGAGTAAAACCAGCAATATGATAAAATATTATTACAATTTAAAATAGCTGTTTTCTGTTTGAATATATTTTTAAATGTAATTTTATTCTTGTGATGGCAAAGCTGAATCTTCAGCAGCCATCCAGTGTTCAGTGTCACATGATCCTTCAGAAATGATTCTAATATGCCGATTTACAGTTGTTATTTTTTTGTGGAAATACTTTTGTGGAAGCCATGGCAGACTGCCATGAATTATTCCAAACTTTTGACTGGCAAAGTGTGTAAAATATTTTTAATGAGGAATAAATGAATGAGTACACTTTTAAATAGGTGAGGAAATGAGAAAACACGCAGTGCTGAATCTAAAAAATCAAGTGTTTGAATCTCAATTGTAATTGATTAAAAAAGGGTGAAAATCAAATCACTTATTTCAGGAGACCAAATTTACATTTATATCGGCAATCAGTGCACTATTAACAGTTAGCTTTTTTTTTCTTATTGCATCTTGATGGTAAATTGTTGCCAATTTTGTTTTAAGAATTGAATGGGATAGTTCATTCAAAAATGTCATTATTACTGTTATTCTCATCTTGTTCCAAACTTATATGACTTTCTTTCTTCTGTGGAGCACAAAAGCAGATATTTTGAAAAATAATCTCTGTGTTTTTTATATAAACAATGACAGCGGGGTCTAATGTTATTTTGGACACCATTGACTTTTGAAATACAGTTGAAATATTCATCAAAATGCTGTATAATCTTTATGATAGAGTCAGGTAAAAGAGAATTTTCCTTTTTGATGTACTTCGAATTCCTTTAACTATACAGATTGAATCCATTTATTTCTTAATATTAAACGCTAATGTAAAATATCCGAGCAAACTTAATATAGCAACTCTACATACAGGGCCATACAACTGCAGCACTTTATGAATGCACAGAACATCAGTTTATGAATAGTGCAAAGGTTTGGCTGATGAATATCAATTACGTAATGTGGATGGATGGTTTAAGATTACCTAACAACATAAAAAAGGAGATAATTAATATGATATTGCCAAATATAATATGATGTCAAATAGTGATACCACAACCTAACCATCTTTTCCCGGCCCAATCTAAAACTCATTCTGACGCCACGTACGCACTTTCGTGCATTCCAGTACATTTAGGCAAAGTAAAATTCCAGACCGAAAGTGATTTTTCATCTGTGGATGTGGAAATTTCATCAACATTACTGAGAAGTTCCTGTATGACATATTATAGTAGTTAAGTGGCGAATTGCGGTCTTAGTTCATTGAGTATATTAGAATGCCATATGTCAGAACAACCGGTCAATTCACAGTCACAGGTAATGAAGAGATGCAGCAGTATGCCAGCTAGACTGATTGCTTTCAGTGTCAAAGCCAAGACTTTCTACTTGCACTATGACAAATCATCTGACAGAACTGTGTTGAAAAAAAGGCTGCCAGTTAGAAGTGATGGCTCAGTATCAGACTTCCAATTTGGTTTACACCTTTCAGATTTGGAGTGTCTGTGTTTACCATGAGCAAACAGTGTGAGGAACTGTCATGCGGCAGTAACTCACTAATGATATCTAAAATACAAGTTACTGTTTTGTTCCAGCAGCAGCACATTTTGGTAATTAGAGCATAAAGAACATCACGATATGTCTGTTATCAGCTTCCTTCCCACACAAAAAGAAAAATGAGAGTGATTAATGAAACATGCTAACAGAATGTTTGCTTTTTGAACGCCTCGCAGATAGGACTAATGAATTAATACCCAAGGTAGAACACCTTTATGGATTTTGTCATCCAAAAAAAAACAGCAATCAGCTATTAGTGAGGACATTTGCAATAGAGGGAGAAATTGGCACCTATTTAATTTGAATCAAGACCAAGAATTGGTAAAAGTATGCAATGAAACTACCAGATGGAACCCTAATTATAAAGCAAATAAAGGTTGTTTTTTCCTCATTCTCACCTCTGTATATCCTCTAGCTTCTTCCCTGGATCTCTGAGTCTGAGGCGAACATTTGCAAAAACAATCTTTGAATTTGTTCTTTCAGGATTTGGACACGTCAGTCAAGTATCGGAATAACAGGAAGGGAGAGAGACTGGAACATCTGATATGGTTTACATGTGTCGGACAGGGTGATTATCCCTTATTTAGCATTACTTCACATCATATCGCTACCACCAAATGTTTGACCAATTATGGAAATGCCTAAAGTGCAAAAATGTTGTGGCTAAGGGTTGAGAAATTTGTGTAAGGAAATACTCAACGTTATTTTCTTTGTATGTAGTTTGTTGAATTGTGCAATGTGTATTTGTTCTCCTTAAATGCTATTTTTATGTTAGAAAAAGTATTCAAAATAATGGTAAACAATAAATAAGATTAATGCAAATTAATGAGTTAATAAGAGTAATTTGAGAGTAATAAAATGTAGATGAATGAAAATGTATTTATTTTGGTGTAATTTGTGTTCTAGGCAAAATTGTTTTATGAATTATATTCATGTTTAGGGTGAAAACTAAATGCAAAATCGACACTATTTTCATATAACTTATCAATCAAAAGATTTCTATTTCACATAAATGCTGTTCTTTTAAATTTTATATTCTTCAAAGAATCCTGAAAAAAATGTAGCATGGCGCATTAAATTGATCAAAAGTGACAAAGACGTTTATAATGTTACATACAGTACATTATATTTATAATGTTTTCTGTCTCATAAACATGGGTATTTCTAATTTCAAAAGCATACAATTATTATTGACATGTTATTGAAATGTTATTTATTTGACCCCTTTTTTGCACACTGGTCCCTCTGCAGATCTCTTCTTTTTAAATTTCTATGACAGCTACCGGATGTGTCTTTTGTCATCAACATGCATCTCCAGACGCCTCATTGGAACTAATAATTCATATTAGCTCATATTTGTGGAGTATTTTTTCTCTGTAATCTCTGGTAAAAAAAAAAAAAAGAATAGCTAGCTGCACTGCAAGTTCTTCTGGTTGAGTCTCATGGCAATTTGCCGAAATCAGTGCCGCACGGAGAGCACCCTGTCAGAATCCAGATTGAGGAGAGCTCAATTTCCCCCTTTTCTCGCAAGAGCTGAGAAGAAATGAGAGAGACGGAGGGAGAGAGAGAGAGAGAGAGATGA